GTCGAGGATCTGCAGCCGCGCCCGTGCTCGTCCGCGGATTCCTCGACGGTGATGTCCGCGGCGACGGTCACGTCGGCGCAGAGGGCGTCGTCGTCGTAGTAGCCGTAGCCGTAGCCGGCGTCGTAGCCGCCGTCGTCGCCGTCGTCGAAGGCAGTCCAGCCGCCGTAGTAGCCGTAGACGGCGTCCTCCGCGAGGACGTCCAGGAGCGCCGCGTAGCTGGAGACGACGTAGGCCTCGCGGCCGTCGGCGCACATCGCGCTGCAGGCACCGCAGGCCAGCGGGCAGGCCGCGACGATGGCCGCGGCGTCGTCGGCGCCGTAGAGCGACGGGAGATCGATGGCGTAGCGCTCGCAGTCCCAGTGGGCGTGGGCGTCGCAGCCAAGGCCCTGGGCGTCGACGAAGGCGCCGTCATCGACACAGATCGCCGCCGCACACCCGGCGACCGGCACTAGCAGCAGGACCAGCGCGGCGCGCATCCCACCCATAGCTGCCCCGACCGGGAACCACGTTCAACGAACCAAGTTTCCCTTCTTAGGCCATGGGCGCGGCCTTGCGGAGGATGTCGATGGTCGAGTGGAGCTCGCAGCCCTCGTACCAGGCGGGCCGCGCCGACGGCGGCTTGACGATCTCCTCGCCGTCGGCGCCGTCGTCGACGCCGAGGGCCTTGGGGACGATCTTCCAGAGGAGCACCGCGGCGTCGCGCCCGCCGCACGACGCGACGTAGCCCCCGCCGGCGAGGAACGACACGCCGAGGCAGTGGGAGCTGTGGCCCCAGTAGGCGCGGTGCGCCGCCCAGCGGCACGTCGCCGGCCCGTTGAAGAGCTTCACGTGGCCGCTGTCGTCGCCGGAGAGGATGAGGCGCCGGTCGCGCGACGCGGACGCCGCGTTCACGTCCGTGCCGTCGCTCGCCTCGAGCGTGATGCCCATGACGGGGAAGCCGAGGGTCAACGTCCACGTGTGCCACTGCGTGTCCGACTCGATGGAGTCCTGGCTGCCCTTGTAGCGCAGCCCCGTGCGCACGTCCCAGTACATGATCTCGTACGCGCCGCACGACGTCTGCAGGAGCGTGTTGTCGAAGCTAAAGTCCATGTTCTTGATGTAGGAGCTGTGGCCCAGCAGCTTCTTGCGCGGCGCGTAGTCCCGCGCCGCGTCGCAGAGGTAGACGGCGTTGTCGTGGGACCCGACGGCGAGGATGCGCCCGTTCGGCGAGTAGACGAGGCACGAGATGGTCTCGTGGCCCCCGAAGGTCGTGTTCGGCACGTAGGCGACGCTCGCGAGCGACGACCAGGCGAAGACCTCGATCGCGCCCGTGTTGAAGCCCACGGCGACGTGGTCGTCGAAGCGCTGCTCGGCGCCTCCGCGGACGCCGACGGCCGTGCCGCCGCTCCGGAGCGACAGGCGCCCGCTCGCCGTCTTCGCACTCGCGTCCCAGACCACGAGGACGCAGTCGAGGCCCACGGTGACGAAGGCGTCGGCCTCCGGGTGCGCCGCGAGGCCCTGGACGGACGCGTGGTGGCTCACGACGAGCGTCTGCGTCCCCGGCCCCGTCTTCCGCTCGCTGGGCGTCGCGAGGTCGCAGATGACGATGTCCCCGAAGCCCAGGCCCGCGAGGACGTGGCTGTGGTCCAGCGGGTGGAGGAGCAGGTCCGACACGCCCGTGGCGCCGCTCCCGCGCTGGCTCTCGAAGCCCGACAGGAACGCCTTCTTGGGGACGTTGCGCTTCACCGTAGGCGCGTTCGGGTCCCGCGCCTTGCCCTTGCCGCTCGCGGCGCCCGCGCCGGCGCCGCCGACGTTCGCGGCGCTGCCGCTCGCCGGGAACGCGTCCGCGACGTCGCCGTCGGCCGCGCCGCGGCCGTCGTCGTGCGGGTTCGCGGGCCGGCTCGACGCGACGACCTTGTAGCGGCCCTTGTCGAGGCGCCAGCGCTTCACGAGGCCGTCGCCGCCCCCCGTGAACAGGAAGCCGTCGGCGTGCTGGAGCGACAGGCAGGGCGACCCGAGGCCTGTGTGCAAATCAACCAGTGAGCTGGGACGTCGGGGCCAAACTTGAGAATTCTCTAGCTCGGTCAAATCGAAGTCGATTCGGCTGATTTTTGGACGAATCGATTGCTCTCGTCGAGTTCTCGAAGCACGGCCGAACAGATTTCGTTAAAACTGTCGCATACGCTCACATTGAAGTCGGGTTGAAGATTTGAATTCCACACAGCCCGAGGCCGTGGGCCTCGAAGTGGTGCACGACCTTGAAGTCGCGCCAGATGTAGACCCGGCCGTCGGACGCGCCGGTCACGACGGCGTCGTCGCGGTGCACGAAGGCGACGGCGTGCGTCGCCGACGGCGCCTTGTGCGGCGTGTAGGTCGGCAGCCGCTTCTGGTACTCGTAGGGCGGCTTCGAACTCGCGTCGCGGCCGCGGTTCGCGCCGGGCTTGCCCCTGCGCGGCAGGTCGATGAGCCAGAAGGCGAGGTGGCCCTTGCCCACGGTCACGACGAGGTGGTCGTTGCCGAAGCGCCGCGCCGTGTCCCGCGGCGCCGTGTAGAGGCCCGTGACCGCGGGTGGCTGCACGCCGGCCTTGCACGGCGCGACGATGACCTGCGCGGGGCTCCGCGCGTGGCGCCGCGCGGGACGCGGGCGACTTCGGCGCGGGCGGCGACGGCCGCGTCGTCGCCGAGCTCGGAGTTGAGGTCGTAGACGCGGAGCGTGTGGCGGTCGTCGCCGCCGACGGCGACGATGTGGGACGAGTCGTCGAAGAAGCCCACGGCGCAGACCATGCGCGCGATGGAGCCGTCGCCGCCGAACTTGCGCAATTCCGCGACGTCGGCGACGGACCAGACGCAGACGTAGGGCGACACGTCCGTCGACGCGCACTGGCCCGTGGCGCCGAGCGTGCCGCTCGCGTCCGTGGCGATGCACGTGACGTCGTCCGTGTGGCCCCGGAAGACGCGCTGGTGGCCCGTCTCGATGTTCTGCACGACCGCGCACGCGGCCGAGTTGTAGACGATGCGGTGCTCGTCGCCGTGGAAGGCCAGCGCGAGGTTCGGGCCCGGGAGGTCCGACGTGTAGCCGAAGCAGTGCTCGAGGTGGAGCCCCGTCGTCGGCGCCTGCGACGACTTCTTCACGGACTTGGCCAGATCCGTCTTCCGCCAGCCGACGGGCGGCTGCACGAGCGTGCGGCAGGTCTTGTAGCGCAGGCGCAACGCCTCGGCCGACGCCGCGGCGCCCTTGACGCCGTCGGAGGCGTGGAGGTACGTGTCCGCGTCCGTGCCCTTGCGGCGGCGCTCGGGCTTGCGGGCCGGGATCGCGGGGCCGCCCGCGCGCGGCGCCGCCCACCGGGAGGTCGGCGCGCCGCCGGGCGCGCGCTTCCGCCCGGGCCCCGCGGCCCGCTCGCCGGCCTCGCCCGCGGCCTCGTGGGCGCGGAAGAGCGCGAGGAACTGGCCCGGGTCGCCCTCGTCGCACTTCTCCCAGAGCCGGCGGACGTCGCGGCTCGGCAGCAGGCTCTGGCCCGGCGTGCGGAACTGGGCGAGGGCGTCGTAGAGCTGCGTCGGCGTCAGCTTGACGTACTCGGAGCTGCGGACGCCGTCGAGGGCCTCGCGGAGCGCGCGCTGGCCGAGCTGGCGCACGAGCATGTCGCGCCGCGCGGGCAGCCGCTTCGTGGGGGGCAGCGCCGCGTGGGCCTCGTTGGCGATGGCGGCGACGCGGCCGCTGAGCTTGGCGAGGAAGTTGTCGAGGCGGTCCTCGAAGCCCTCGGCGCCCGGCGGCGCGAGGCCCGGGTGGCCGTTCTGGGTTCTGGGCTTCGACGGCGAATACGCGTGCTCGCCGCGGGGCGTCGACGCGCCGGGCGTCGACGCGCCGGGCGTCGACGCGCCGTCGTCGAGCCAGGCCTCCGCCGCCCGCGCCGGCGTCTCCTCCGCGACGAGGAGCGGCGGCTTGCGCGTCTCCCGCGCCGGGGGCAGGCCCGCGGCCGGGTCGCGGTGCAACGCGAGCAACATCGACGAGAGCTCCGCGATGGTCAGCGACGCCGAGCCGTCGGCGTCGAAGCGGTCGGCGAGCGCCGCGATCTCCTCGGGCTTGACGCCGGGCAGGAGGTCGCGCATGGCGCCGGCGAACTCGTCGAGGTCGAGCTCGCCGGAGCCGTCCTTGTCGTAGTTCTTCAAAAACCGCTTGAGCACGAGCACGAGCTGGCCGGACCGCTCGCTGAGCTTCTCGAGGAGCAGCCGCGCCAGCGCGAGGAGGCGCTCCTCCTTGACGCCGCCGAAGTACTCGGCCCCCATCTTTGCCTTCTCGCCTTTTCAAAAAGCGGGCAGCATGCCGTCCGGAGAGCGCGGATCGATGAGCACCTTGAACTTCAACATGGAGCCCTCGGAAGTTGAAGCGGCGTGAAGCAACATGGGTCCGGCTCCCATGAACAGAAGCAACATGCGAGCAAGAGCACGGGCCGGGCTGTTTCGGCTGGAAGAGCATCGACTGCGAGAACTACTGGTGCGTCCTCGACCTTCGGACGTGCGCGACTCCCACTCGACCCCGACGTAGGTGCTGGTGCTGCGTCGCGCTTTGGATGTTCCGACACGACCTCCTGAAGCGGGACCCCGGCCGGGAATACGGCGACCTTTGCTCGCCGACGGGCCTGCCCGTGCCCCGGGGCGCCAGCGTCCACGTCGTCTGAAGCACGACCCCCGGGGCTCCCCCTTGATATACAAGCCTTATACAGACTCGGAGACGGAGCTCGAGAGCGCCGGCGCGAGGCTAAGGTCAATATGCCTTCAAGGCTGAAACCTCAATTGGTCGACGCGCTCCACTTCGTCGCCCACTGCGTCGACGGGCGGCCGCTGCCGCGCGCGCAGCACGGCCGCCTCGTGACGCGCGCGCGATGTCGGACGACGACTGGGAGACCGTCGCCGAGCCGTCCCTCGGCGACCTGTCGCTCGGCGGCGCCCCGCCGGCGCCGGCGCCCGGCGCGCCGGCGCCGGCGCCGTCCCCCGCCGACGACGACGACGGCTGGCTCGCGCCCATGGGCACGCTGCGCGCGGAGATGCGCGAGCGGCCGAGCGGCGCGCCCAAGGTGCTCATGCGGCGCACCGGCGCCGGCGACGCCGCCCGGGCGCCCGCGGACGCGAAGCCCGCGGCGGCGAAGACGGAAGACGAACGAGCGCGCGACTACGCCGCGGCGCGCGCGCGCATCATGGGCGACGCGAAGCCGCCCCCCGCGGCGAAGAAGGCCGGCTCCTGGGCGTCGCAGGCCCTCGCGGCGTCGCGCGAGAAGCCCGCGGCCGGCGACCGGGGCCGGCGGCCGCCGCGCGGCGGCGACGCGAGGCCGCCGCCGCCCGGCGACGGCCACCCGGCGAACGCGCGCGTCGCCCGCGGGCCCCACGGCGAGGGCGTGGGCTTCGACGCCCGCTCCCGCGAGCGCGCGCGCGCGAACGCCGAGGCGCTCGCGGCCGGCGCGGCCTACGTCGCGCCCGACCGCGCGCCGCGGCGCGACCGGCCCCGGGCCGCGCCTCTGGACCCGGACTACCACCGCCAGCCCGTGACGCCCATCTACGAGCCGGCGCACTACGGCGCGCCGCCGCCGCGGGGCCTCGTCTACGGCCAGCCGCCCTACGCGGCGCCGCCGCGGGGCTTGGTCTACGGCAAGGGCGCGCCGCCCTACGCGGCCGACGCCTACGGCGCGGGCTTCCCGCCGCCGTCGCCGCCGCCGCGCGGCGCGCCGCCGCACGTCTACGGCGGCGCGCCGCCGCCGCGCGGCGCCGGCGCCTACGGCGGCGCGGGCCGCGCGGGCTACGCGCGGAGCCGCGCGGCGCCCGAGGCCTACGACTACGGCGGCGGCGGCCACCACTACTACCAGCCCCAGTTCGCCCAGCCCCACGGGTTCCCCGGCGGCGGCTACGACGCGGGCGCCGCGTCGAGCGACTACGCGCCCGCGACGGAGCCGCCGCGCGGCGACGTTCCGGGCCCGGCGCGCGCCGCGCCCTTCCTCCCGCCGCCGCCGCCGCCCCAGTTCGCCGCGCCCCAGCAGATCCAGCCCCAGCCCCTGCGGCCCGTCGTCGTCGACCCGGAGCGCGCGGCCGCGCGGCGCAAGGAGCGCGGCCGCGGCCGCGGCGACGACGCGGGCAAGGGCCGCGCGCGCGGCCGCGGCCGCGGCCGCGGCCGCGACGGCCGGGGCCGGGGCAAGGGCCGGGGCGGCGACGCCGCGCCTCCGGCGGAAGAGGCGCCGCGCGGCGCCGACGCGGCGCCCGCGCCCGCGCCGGACCCGCCGCCGAACCGCAAGCCCGGCGGCCGCCGCGGGCCCCGCGTCTACGAGGAGGAGTTCCCGACGCTGTAGAGGCAGAGCCCCCGTCCTAATTTAGCACACGGCCTTGCCCGGGATGCCCGGCGCGAGGGACGGCGCGACCCGGAGGTCCGCGTGGCCCGCGGCCAAAATCGCGCCGATGCGGTCCTGGTGCCGCGTGCGCCGCAACCGCGACACGGACGTGAGGTGGCGCCGGTGGTTCGGCGCGAAGTTCGTGTTGTAGGTCTGGAGGGGCGCGAAGTGCCTGTGCCGGAAAAAAACAGTGGAACGCCCTGTCCGGCAAAAACTTCACACCTCTATCTCGGTCAATTCGAAGTCGATTCGGCTGATCTTTGGACGGATCGATCGCTCTCATCGAGTTCTCGAAGCAGAGCCGAAGGGGTTGCGTCGTTCAATTACGCGCACATTGAAGTCGGGTCGAAGATGTTCCGCGCGGCGACGCGCGCGAGCGCCGGGTCGGCGCGGTGCGGGTTCGGGTTCTGGACCTGGGCAGCAAAAGAGAGATTCAACGTCGCTTCAACGTGAGTGTTCCGCGCGCGCGCGTTCCGGAAAAAGCATCCACGCTTCGAGATCGTTCCGAGAGATGATCGCTCGTCCAAAAATCAGCCGAAACGAGCGGAAAACGACCGAGATAGGAGCCTTTGAAGTTGGGCATGTCGCTCTCTTTTGCTGCCCTGTCCTGGACGCGTCTGTGCGGCGACGCGAGCACGGGCCGCGCCGCCGTGAGCTTGGAGAACCGCAGGCCGCTCCTCGTCGACGCGAGCGACGGCCGCTCGAGGCTCGCGAGCGACGCGTTGGACCGCCGGAACAGATCCGTCGACGGCTCGGCGAACGACGCGGCGCCGGGGCGCGCGCGCGCCTGCTGCACGGGCGCCGTCGCCGGCCGCAGCTGGCGGACGCCGTACATGAGGCTCGCCGTGCCCGGCCGCGGCCGCATGACGTCGCGCGCGCCGCCGCCCGCGACGTCGGAGAGCGCGCCGTCCAGCGCGTCGCGCGGCCGCGACAGGTGCCGGTCGCCGTGGGCGTCGAAGGGCACGCGCCGCCCGCTGGACCGGCCGAGGGCGCCGCTGCTCCGCGCGGCCGTCGAGTCCTGCGTCGTCGCCGGCCGCGACCCGCTGTCGGAGGTGATGACGACCTGCAGGTCGCGCTTGTTCTTCTTCGTCGCCGACAGAGGGCGGCCCGACGCGCTCGCCTGCGACGCGCCGGCGACGTCGCCGGCGCCCAGGGCGCTCGGGATGACCACGCCCCGCAGGGTGAACGACGACCCGTGGGCCTTGCCCGACGTCCCGCTCATCGTCGTAATGGCTTCAGAGAGCGTTGAGAGGGCCGGGATGATCCTGCCGGCTTCTCCGGCTCCCCGGGGAAGCGCGCTCGAATCTCGCGCTCGAATACTCGCGCTCGAAGCGGACAGCCAGTCGCGCGCGCACCAGCAGCCAGTCGCGCCGCGCGCGCTGCACGCCGGCCCGTAAGGCATGTGTCGCGCCGCGGCGCTCCTCCTGACGTGCGGTGCCGCGGCGGCCCTGCGCCTGCCGCGGCCGCGCGTCGCGCCGCTCGTGGCGCTGCCGAGCCCGCGGGCCATCGACGTGTCGACGCGCGTCGCCGGCCTCGTCACGGCGGGCTTCGAGTTCTTCGAGGACGTCGAGTCCATCGGCCACCACCACAGCCTCGGCCTGCTCTGCGCGTCGCGGCTCGCGCGCGACGCCGCGGGCGCTACCGAGGTCGTCGAGGGCCTCGACGTCGGCCGCGGCCGGCGGCGGCGGGTCTTGGAGGCCATCACGTCCAAGGCCTGCACGCGGATCGTCATGGCCGTGGCGCTCCTCGCCGCGGGCAAGGAGGTCCTCGAGGACCTCGCGCCGGGGGGCCACCACGGCATGGTCCTGCTCAGGGCAGGAAAAGAGTGCGAAATTCCCAACTTCAAAGGCTCCTATCTCGGCCGGTTTCCACTAGTTTTGGCTGATTTTTGGACGAGCGATCATCTCTTGGAACGGTCTCGAAGCGTGGATGCTTTTCCGGAACGCGCGCGCGCAGAACACCCACGTCGAAGCGACGTTTAATCTCTCTTTTCCTGCCCAGGTCCTGCTCGCGGTCAACGAGTTCGCGGAGACGCTCGAGGGCGCGCTCAAGGGTCGGCTCGGCCGGCTCTTCGACAACGTCATCGTGAAGCTCGCCGTGCCCCTGGCGGCCGTGGCCTGCGCCGCCGTCGAGGTCGTCGCCGACGTCGGGAAGATCGGCGCGCACCACGGCGTCTTCATCCTCGCGCTGTCCAAGTTCGTCAAGGTCGCCGGCTCCCTCGCCGGGCGGCTCCACGCGGGACCCGAGGCGCGCGCGCCGGGCCCGCCGGCGAAGTGGGCCTGGAGCGGGCCCGTCTTCGACTAACAAGGGCGCCTTTCGAAAAAAAGCGCAACAAGGCGCTTCAACGACTTGATACGTAGGGTGAAAACGACTTTAGAAGAAACGGGCAAGCTCTCCGTCCGTGTGTCGCCCCCCGACGCGGGCGCAGAACGACGCGCCCGGCGCGTGCGCCGCGCCGCGGTCCCGCGCCATGGCGCTGAAGAAGATCCAGCTCAAGCGGAAGCAGCGGCGCACGTCCATCGCGACGGGCGCGCCCATGCCGCCGGCCCTGCCCCGGCGCCTGGGGTCCGTGCGCGGCGCGGACATGGCGGGCCTCACGAAGGAGCTGCCGCGGCGCTTCACGGTGGGCAGCCGGGCCCAGAGCGAGCTGCGCATGGCCGGCGACGGGAGCGGCTACTACGACGACGACAAGAAGGACGCGGCGAAGCCCGAACGGCCGCCGCCGCGCCTCACGAGCCGCGAGTCCTTCCGCCGCTTCGCCGGGCCGCCCAAGGCCAGCGACGCGCCGGCGCCGGCGCCGGGGAAGCCCGCCGCGCCGGCGACGCCCGCCGCGCCGGAGACGCCCGCGCCGCCGTCGCCCGCGCGGCGCGGCGCCGCGCGGGAGATCCCGGCGGCGACGGACCTCGAGCGGCGGCTCGCGGACCGCGCGCGCGTCCTCGAGGCGGCGCTCCGGTCGCCGGAGGCCCTCGACGTCGACGCCCTGGGCCTGGCGCCGCTCGTCGACGTCGCCGGCGCGGCGCTCCGGACCGCCGCGGCGGCGCCGGCGTCGGCGCCCCCGGGCTTCCTCCTCGTCGACGCCGCGCTGGTCCGCGCGCCACCGGCCGGCGCCCTCGAGGCCGCGCGGGACGCGGCCGCGGCGGCCCTCGCGCGCCGCGCCGTCTTCGGCGCCCTCGTCGCGACCCAGGCCCGCGAGGACGACGCGCCGCGCGCGCCCGCGCGCGAGCCCGAGCCCGAGGCCGACGACGGCGACGGCGCGGTCGCGCTCCGCGACGGCCTCCTCGCCGAGGTCGTCGGCGACCTCGCGCCGGGCGCCTGCGCCGGGGCGCTCCTCGAGTCCCTCGCCGCGGCGTCGAAGCTCGCGGAGCGGCGCACGCTGGAAGCGGCGTGGAAATCAACCGCCGGTTCGGGACGTCCCGACCAAACTTTGAAATGCTCGAGCTCTCGGTCAAATCGAAGTCGTTTCGGCTGATTTTTGGACGGATCGATTGCTCGCATCAAGTTCTCGAAGCAGAGCCGAAGAGCTTGCGTCGAACCATTCAATGACGCGCACATTGCAGTTGAAGATTTGAGTTCCACGCAGGCTCGAGGCGGCGAACGCGAAGACGAACGCGGAGATCGCCCTCGAGGTGTCGCAGGGCCACGAGACCAAGGAGCTGCGCCTCGAGGAGGAGCTCAAGCGGGCCCTCCACGAGCTCCGGGAGGAGCGCAAGGCCGCCGCGGGCCTCCGGGAGGCGACGGACGAGGCGGCGGCGGCGCGCGACGCGGCGGTCGCCGAGGCCGCGCGGCTCGCGGGCGACCGCGGGGCCGTCGAGGCGCGCGCGCGGGGCGCGTCGAGCGGCCACGGCGCCGCCGACGCGGCCCTGGCGGCCGCCGCCGCGGACCGCGACCGCGCGGTCGCCGCGGCGGCGGGCCTCGAGAGAGAGGTCGCGGACCTGAAACGCGCCGCGGCGGCCGCGGCGGCCGCGCGCGGCGACGAGGCCGCGCGGGCCGACGCGGCGGGCGCGAGGCAGCGGGACGCGGAGCAGCTCGCGCGCCACGCGGAGCGCGACCTCGCGGACACGGCCGCGGCGCTCGAGGCGACGACGGGCTCCCTGGAGCGCGCGAACCGCGAGCTCGAGGCGAGCCGCGCCACCGTCGACGACGCCGTCGAGGCCGCGCGCCGCGAGTCCGTCGACGTCGTCGC